TGCACATAGAAGACAAAATGTAGATATTCTAGACGTAACGGCTCCCGCCGAGCACGATTGTGCGTCACCATCTGGTGCCTGCCGTAGGCGCACGCTCGTGGACTTCGCTGCGACTCGACTTGTTCCGCAGGTGTAGATCTTCTGGAGGTTATAATTTAGTGAGTACATGCAGTATTAATCTACTACACCCAAATACATTCCCTTTTGATAGCACCGGAACACTCGTTGTATTGTGAGCAAGCCCGGGCTTAAGCCCAAGGCTTGGGCCGGGCTCGGGCTCGGCTCGGGCTCAGGGCTCGGCTCGACGTCGCCACAAGCCCAAGCCCGGGCTTTGAGCCCAAGCCGGGCCCGCACATCACTAAGTAGGACGCATCAGGCTGCAACATTCGCGGACGTACCCGTAAGGAGTCTAGTCATGGCGTGGCATTTGAGACAAGCTTCTACTGTGACACTTGTCAACAATGCCAAAGGAGACAAAGTGTTTTCGCGCGCATATATGCACGCGCATGTCTCGAGGCTGTCAAGTACTGTACACAGCAACTGTTTTATCTTGCCCGTATTTTTTGTTCGCTTTCCACAGCTATGCGCGAGCCCGATGCGTACGGCTGATCCGAGAAAGTGTACGCCTAAGCAGCACGCGCACCATCAGCACCACCGTTCATTTCTCAAGATTCCAACACGCACCAGGGATATCCTCTCGACATGATCGAGCCCCACAACCCTATTGTCGTAATGTTGAACTCCTCCAGAGCCCGAGCTCAGCGTAGAGCGAGCCAGCTCCGAGCTGGCTAACCGCGGACGCCGCCGATCATGTCGATCCAGCGTCCGGTGTAGCCGGGGTGCCGGTCAACGAAATATGGCCCGCTGTCGCAGGCTTGTGGTTCTTCCTGCCAAGGGAGACCTGGAAGGTAAAGTGGCGGCCGAGGTACTTGTAGCAGGTAACTCGGACGCGGCGCGGGCGCCAGCAATCATGAGAAGCGTGAGCACAAATGAGGGAGGCGCCGAAAGCGGGTGAGCGGTGACTCACGGATAGTAGCCGGCCGCGAGTCTCGGTCTGATCGGCAGTGAGCACCCGGGCCCTCCAGCAGATAAGACGGCAAGGAGATCGACGGCATTATTGTCAACGTAGGTGATTAACTGCACAGACGTGAAGCGTGTCATAGAGTAAGCTACAGACACGGTGTGGTGAGCTGCAGGTCCGAGCCTGGCCTTTAGTAACACTGCTGCGCGCGTAGCAGTGAAGGCGATACTTTCCTCCTCTCCGTGGTGAGATGTTCGCTGTTTTTCATACTTCGTTGGCTCCTCCACATGTGAGATGGGGTTTAGCGGTGTACAGCACGCATGTCTGGAGATAGTGCGATGTTTATGGCTAGCGGCTAGAACTTACAAGTTGTTTCTACGAGAGTTAGCAGCTTCCGTCTTAATCGCATTGATGACAATACACACCGGTGGATATAACTGTCCAGATCTTACGATTCAGCGCGATTGAGTCCCGAAGAGTGCCACAAACGATGTCTGTGAGACATCTTGTGGGCTCGGCTAGTAAAAATGCACCTGCCATGACGAGTTGACGTCTGCTCGCTGCCCCAGTGACTGCGAAAAGTAGGGCGAGACCCACAGACAACCTCAATCTATATCTCTGGCTTGATATCTCGCCTCTGTTATTCGTTGAAAGGCACCACAAGTTATCTAGTACTATTGTAGGATGCTTCTAAACTTTGAAATATAGCCCTATAGTCAGATTAAACCATGTGTCAAGCTTTTCGCATAGCGCAGACCAATCGGGTGCTCAAACATGGTGATTATGCACCCCACTCGCCTCTCTGCGAGAAAGCGCACGAGTCAGCCAAACAATCATGGAGAGGTTGTGCTGATTACCCACATAAGGTCACCAACGATTTAGTAGACACCAGGGACGAAGCGATGAGGAGTGTGCTTCGCCCATGCGAGCCATTCATCCCCAAACTCCTCTAGCAGCGCCAAGTCCTCTTTTGGCATTCGGAAAATAGACGTCAAGGAGATGTGCACCGTGAACGCGATCTGACACACGCCTGCGAGAAAGCCAAGCGGATTCCTCCAAAGCCCGAGCTCAGCGTAGAGCGAGCCAGGACCAAGCTGGCTGATAACGACGCCCACCATGTAGATCCAGCCTCCTGTATAGCCAGGGTGTCTAACAACGGAATACGGACCACTTGTTATTAGCTTGTGGTTTTTTTGGATGGCGAGCTGAAAAGTGAAGTGGCGTCCGAGATATTTGTAGGAGACGGATCGGATGAGGCTACCGATAACCATGAGGAGCGTGCCAATGGCAAACGCTGGCGACATAGCGAGCGGGTCGACGACGGTCATGGGCAGCCAGGCGCGAAGTTCATCGGCGACGGGAACCCTTTCAGCGGATAAGATGACAAGCAGATCGACGAAATTGACGATGTGAATTATGTACTACAGAAAGGAAATGCGCATAGAGTAAGCTGCGCGAACCAGATGTGACGAACCGTGGGTCTGACCTTTGATAACATCGCTGCGTGTGTAATAGTGAAGCCCTTCTCGCCATAGTTTAATGCCTGGTTTTCTTCGTACTTTGCTCGCTCTTCTGCATGAGGGGTGACATTGGGGGGTGTTGAGGTTATGTGACTGGAGACGGAGCCAGCGATGAGCAGGAAAATTCTTAGACAAAGGGCGGTGCCCATGGCTGGCGGATTGGGTCTGTATCTAGAAGAGGCATTAATTTCGGTCATGTAAGATAGACCCAGTTCAATTTCGACCAGTGCCGTCACAGTGTGACAGTCACGTGCATGTCGCGGAAACGCGCGGTCGCGATGATGATAAGTACGGCAGTTGGAACCCTCGCTGCTTAACAGGGAGAGAGAAGATGTGAATAGACAAACCATGAACATGCCCAGGCTTTCATACAAATAAACTCCCCGCTATGAGGCGAGTTCCGCCAGTCTCTCTCCTCCGAGTCCTTGTGCTCATCCGGTGACTGAAGTACTCCCTCACAAATGCAACTGCTTCCCCTGTAAAGTCTCCGTAAGCATGCAGCGATCCCTCTGAGTGCAAAATATGGCCATACAGCGTGAGTACGAGAGTGGCACACAGATGTGTGGAGGCGCTTGATGACTTATCTCTAAACTTGAGCTGTGTATTGAGCTGATTCAGTTTGGCGGCCCAGACACAGGAACTTATTAAGTTACACCGGACTAGCCACCCAGAAGCACCCAAGAGCGGCTAAGACATGCTGAAGAATTTCAGAAAAGCCCAAAAAATGGCACAAGCGGGAATCAAGCCTGCAGCCCAAAAGCAACCGCAGCGCACTATACCACTAGTGATGTGCGGGCCCGGCTTGGGCTCAAAGCCCGGGCTTGGGCTTGTGGCGACGTCGAGCCGAGCCCTGAGCCCGAGCCGAGCCCGAGCCCGGCCCAAGCCTTGGGCTTAAGCCCGGGCTTGCTCACAATACAACGAGTGTTCCGGTGCTATCAAAAGGGAATGTATTTGGGTGTAGTAGATTAATACTGCATGTACTCACTAAATTATAACCTCCAGAAGATCTACACCTGTGGAACAAGTCGAGTCGCAGCGAAGTCCACGAGCGTGCGCCTACGGCAGGCACCAGATGGTGACGCACAATCGTGCTCGGCGGGAGCCGTTACGTCTAGAATATCTGCATTTTGTCTTCTATGTGCATATTAGGTCGCTCTCTCCTTATTCGGAACTCAGGGAATGGTAACGGAGCCAGCACACCCAAGCCTGGGCTTCCGAGCCGGGCTTG